TCTTATTGTCATGTGCTTGTAATTCTCTGGCTGTTCATCTTTAATTGCTAAGTCTATCGTTGGATTTGTGTAATGTAGCTCGAGGAAGGAGAGAAGGACCTTGCTAGGAGTCAAGAGTACAAGTATTGTATCTATAAGTAAGTTCAGTATTTTTGTTCAATTTTCCAGAAAAGAAAGTTGAACATTTCCTATTTGAAGTATTGGTTTCCTGTCCTCATAATGTCGATCTTATTTAGTTGTAAATCATAAATACGTTGCTTCATAAGTGATTAAGCAGTTAACCCATATCAATTTCAATGCTATTAGAATCTCTGCTAATAATTGTAACCTAATCCCTTGTGTCCAAACTCATAAATGGGATAGGAGATGAGTATCAAGGTTGTTTGCTGGTTGCATCACTGTTTGGTTGTTTGACAGTTAAAATAGTCTGAAGGGATTTTGGGACTTCATCAACTTGCACAACAGGAAGAAGATATGGGTACAAATTGGACGTTTTTGGTTATTAGAAATTTGTTCACATTTCGTGGTGTGAGATCCCACATTGGTTGGGAGGAGAACGAAGCATTCTTTATATGGGTGTAGAAACCTCTCCCTAATAGACGCGTTTTAAAAACCTTGAGAGAAAGCCCGAAAGGAAAAACCTAAAGAGAACAATACTGCTAGTGGTGGGCTTCGACTGTTACACGTGGTGGTTGTTCTCCTCTCCTTATTTCCATCGTCCACTTCATCCTCCAACCATTCAAATAGGAATGCAATCTTTTTTTCTTTTCTTTTTTTTTTGCTTGATTCACTAGTTCATATGATACGTTCTTAATCCGAATGTTGTGTCCATGGAAAAGAGATTGTTTGTAAGGAGCTTCGACATTGGTGATTTTATTTGTTTGCCTTTGGTTGGCTGGAAAGGAGTCTAGCCACTGTTTATTTTCTAGTTGCTACTTAACTCGCTGGGGAGCTATGGTTTGTAATTCACTATGCATATGTGATACATCTTGAGTGCTACCAAATCAGAGAAATCCCTCCATGCTTAGAACCAAATTCGAATTTTTAACCGTTCGAGAATCAAAATGGTATCCTATTGTATCTGGACCTTTTTCTTTCTCTATTTTCTGTGCTTAGAAGGAACTTAAGCAGCTCTGATGATCCATACCATTAGCTTGATCTTTTTCTTGACCTGGTTAAATGTGTGTCCAATCATATGGGATCTAAGATGCCTGCGTATGATGGCTTTCATTCCCCAACGCAACACTTTCCAATATTCTCTTATTTGCTTTCGTTCTCTTCTACTCTTGAATAGCAACCTGAATTTGACCTTGCGATGGGAATTTCTTGCTTGACAAGGGTGTATGCGCTTTCTTCGAAATCCAAGATTCAATCCCAATGCATCATCATATATGGTCTGGTGTCCGTGCCAATTGGTCAAACGACGAACCGAATTAGCACTTCTCATACCAAGCTAGGCCTCTCCAGCTCCTTTGTTGTTATTAAGTAGTAAGCTAGAAGAATATTCTGTCTGGTTGAGCTCTCTTGCTAGATGGTTTTCAACTGCATGTTGTTTCAGCTAGATTCCTGAATCCATAGGAGACGAGTTGAGGGAAACTTCATGAAAGTACCATATGTGCATCTCGACCTAATCGACTATGCATTTGCTCATCAATTAAATTTTAATTTCAACTAATATTTGGAACTGACCTAACATTGACAAACCTTATAAGCTTTTTGCATTTGGGATTGATTGAATTTAAAGCTTTGCAACCTTTGTTTGCTTGCAGGTTGTCAATGGGGGAGAGTCTGGAGGGTATTAAGGGCTCCTTTGACTACTAATGTCTGTCTGCTTTTCTCAAGACTGTCTGTGTTATATAACTGTCTGGTGTTCCATTTTGCCCTCTTCTTCTGACTGCCTTTTAACATTTGGGTCAAAATATGAGGTACAAATCCAATCTTGAGTTCATATTTTTCTTCCTTTTCCTCTCTCGTACACTGAGCGGTGTGTCAACGAGAACGTTGGACTTCCAAGGGGGTGGATTGTGAAATCCCACATCAGTTAGAGAGGGGAACGAAGCAATCCTTATAAGGATGTGAAAACCTCTCTCTAGCAAACACGTTTTAAAAAATTGTGAGGCTAACAATGATACGTAACGGGTCAAGGTGGACAATGTCTACTAGCGGTGAGTCTGACAACAGCGAAAATCTTAGAATAGAAAACACAGCTACTCATACAAATTTCAATTCAGGAGTAGAACTTTTAACCTTTGGTTAAATAGATTATAATGTATTAATTAATGGCCAAATAGATTATAATGTATTAATTAATGATCATGTGTATGCTCATATACTTCCTTTTCTATAGCTTTCTTATTTCATTACCAATTTTTCTTAATGTTTTATAAAACCAAGCTCAATTTTAAAACTAAAAGCAATAATTTGAAAATTTTTAAAACTAAAAGAAATAGTTTTTAAAATCCTAATTTCGTTTTTGAAATTTAGTTTAGAATTCGAATGTGTTTTTAAAAAATGTATAAAACTTAGCCAAAAATTTTAAAAACAGAAAATAAAAAATTAAATAGCTATAAAATGAGATTTTAATTCTTAGGTTTTTTTTGTTTTGTTTTGTTTTGTTTTTTAATTTGAATATGTAAATCTCTCTCAAACACATTTAGGACTTAATCTTGGAGGCTTAAACTACCAATTTAATTTTCAGTATATGATTTTTTAAAAATAAATGATAAGAAATCTAAATTGATATCTATTTTATTTTATTTTATTTATTTATTTCGTTTTTAAAAGTATATTTATTTTAGTTTAAAAATTTTTGCTTGGTTTTGAAGTTGGTGGAAAAGTAAGAAAATTACAAACAAAAATAATAATTATAAGCCTAATTATTTTAATAAAAAAAATAGTTGTCAAATATATATATAAAAAGATTATGCCTAACAACTCTTGTTTGGTGTTGGTTCACTGACTCTTATTTTATTTGTTTTCACATTTTAGGATTGAGATTATAGTTTCCATGAATAAAGTATACAATTTTTTATTTTTTTTTAATTAATAAAATTCTATCGTGAATAAATAAAAGAATCTATGGAAGATATTTACTTTGTTTACCCTTTGAACGAACATTATTCTATCTTTATCTAATACATCTTTTCAACATATTGACACCGTGACAGTGAAGTTTTAACATAAAGTTATTTTTTAGAAATTTAAGTAAGAAATTTATGGATTTGAGATTCCAAAAATAACCTAAAATTCATCTTTTAGAAGTTTGAAAATTCTTTAAAATATGCAAATAATATCTGGATTAAATTACGAGAGGGCTGAAATAAAAAATAAATATTTGATGAATATAGATAAATAAATTTTGTTATGAACTTTTTATTTTTTATCTATTTAATTTTTTGAATTTTTATAAAGATATGGATATTAATCTAAAGTTTAAACATTATTATTTTTATCTAATTTAATTCCCACCCCCCCCCCCCCCCCCC